AACAAAATACTTTACCTTGATCCACCCATCATACAGTGCCTTCATAGACAAGTTAACTTCAGGTTGCCAGTGAAAGAACTACAAAATCAAATTGTTGCCCTTGTCAGGGTGGGCTTTAACACTTAAACTCCCAAGATCTGATTGTTAATTCTCCCCTCTAGCTGCCAAATATTTCCTTGTAAATTAGCTATGAGAATTTGTTGTTAGATCACAACAACATTTTCTACCTGATAACTATGAGTATTCCCATTATCTGTTTGATGCATTTGATGATTTAATGAAGAATCCATTGACAGTTTTAATAACAACTTGATTTAACAAGCTTCTACAGTAAAAGGAAAACTAGGAGACAATGGTTTGGAGTGTGAAATATTCTTAATTACGATGAATAATTTTAAACCTGGAGATGTAACCATTTGCAGGGCTGCAAATAATTATATTGCTTGACAGGTCTCTCTCTACCTCTAACCAAGTTTCCACTTTTGTCCGACAAAACAGAAATATGGTCTGTTACCTTGGTTATTTATAAATTAAAGTGAGTGCAATTTGATCTGAAATCATATATGTGATTTCAAAATTGAACAATTGATTGGTTGATTGGTTACTTCAAGAGAAGCCCTGAAGTCAGATAGGATGTTGTGTTTAACTAATCAAAAGCTTTCTCGTTGGCTGGAAAAAAGAAGCAATCTGGGGGAAAAAATGGTGCAATTCCTGCATAATTCACACTGATGAGAGCCAATCAGATTGCAAGGATCATCAATGATTTCTAAATGAATGTAAAAAAAGAAAATCCTATCATTTTTCTCCTCTATCCTGAAATAATTTGCATAAAAAGATGTGCTAGACTATAAAATAATAATTACAGTTTATTGAATCATAGAAAACATCTTGTTTATTAGAACATACCACACTTGTATTGCTCATCTTGTCAATGTAAGACAGATTACTATGCTGTCAAAATAAAATCACACAACAAAATTGTGTTATTGCATAATTGTATCATTAAACAACAGTTATGGAGAACACACAAAGCTATATACAACCCTCATCAAGTTTCATTTAACCCTTTGGCTCCCATGAGTGACTGCCGTAGAATTTCTCCTTACAATATCAATACAATATCAAGCAGACAAGTGGTGAGAATAAAGAAAATATCAATAAGAGAACTATAAGTTGATCCAATACCAAATTCTCTGAACTTTTATCATCAGAATTGTATGGCAGACAGTTAGGAGAATTACTAATGAGATCTTGGGAGATACTGCTGGACTCTGGGTCAAGAGGTCTTGGTTTGGTACAGTGCATGGTCATTGCGTTGTGTTCCTGGGAAACGCTCACAACAACTCTCTCTACTCACAATAATTTAAATGGCTACTGGCAAGCCTTTTGGGAAATGAGACAAAATGCTGGCAGGTAAAGGTAGTTAATTCTGTAGTAAATTTGCATTGCACATCCTTACTGTGTATAATTTTAGCCACCTACTCAGCTCAGATTATACATGTACATCTATTACACTTTCTAGCGACAATCTTGGTTTATACATCACTGATTTTAAAACTCCATGTAAAAATGTCTTACTGCTTTTCCTGGATCTGTGACTGCATTTAACCTGACTATCTCCACCAGTTCATAGTACAAGCCTCTTGTTCTTGAATCTCCAATGAAAGCCACTGGGTGATTCTGTAAACAAGTCCTCACTTCACTTCAAGAATAAAAATATTGAATAAATACTGTTAGTATCATCTTGGAAGGTGTTATAAAGTAGAGACATGGTTTTACCATCAAAGACTTAAAGTTTAAATACCCTGATTCCTAAATATACAGGAACAAGAGTGATATACAAAAATGAATAAAGAAGCTATATAAATAAATAAACACCAAAAAGGAAACAAAACTATTTAAACTAAAATCATGCAGATTCCAAGTTCACAGCATTTTATGAAATAGAGTTCTTTGCACAAAGAATTTTAATCACACTGAGTATTTTAATTGCGGTATACAACAAGAGGTATGTAATGAAAATTGAGAAAAAAACCATGATATTGTGGGGTAGTGTTCTCCATTATTTTAAGCAAGACTAGTAAAAGAAAGTTTCAAACCAGGAGAGCAATTGATAAACTGGAATTTTGGAGAATTTCAAGTGATTTTACACAGTAAGAAGAGATACTACAGGCTCTAAATTTTACCAGAAACAGCCTAAAAAGGGGAATAGTGTGGATCTCATGACTGGTGTGCAGGAATATCAGTCTTAACCCT